TTGGTGGCGAGTTGAACGCGATTGACCGATATTGATGGTAGGAAGCGTGCGTTGGCAGTTTTTCTGTTGATGGTCTTTCGCGATTTTCTGAGCGTTAGACTCTGCAGCGTGCGCGTGGGCAATTTGGAGTCTTCTGTTAAGGAGGTCGTGGTATGGCAGTTCTGCCGTGCACGGAAGGGACGGCTCCAGTATTTCTGCCCAAGGCATTCGAAAGTGACGACTGAACATGAGATAGGCAGGAGTTTCTTGTGTTACAGCGTGTACCGAGTTTCGTACGAAAAGCGCGTATGGTATTTGGGATTCCCAGACTGAATGAGATTGTTCTATGGCGCAAGCTATGATATTAGCGAATGTCCGATGAAATCGTTCTATTTTCCCATTAATTCCTGGGATTCCTGCGCTGCAAAGGATGTGGTTGACTTTCTATGAGCGAGGGTGTGAACTCTGTACCACGGTCTGATTACAGGGTATGGCATAACGGCAAAAAAATTGTTCTATGTCACAAGCCACTTTTTTTTTTTATTATTTTTATTTTTTTTTATTTGGAATTGCATTTCCCTCAGTTTATCGTGTGAACTCGCATTGGGCGGTCAAGATGTGTTTCCTTGGGCGGATGGAGGGTTTATTGACCCCATCAGGTCGAGACTTAGGATTTGCATTGGTCGCACCGGTTCCTCTACATCTTGTATTGCTATGTCCGGTTTCCTTCCTTTTCGTTTCAGACAGGCGAGACAATGCATCACATGGCTTCGAACATCCGCGAACAACGTAGGCCAATCAAAACTTTCTAATGAGTTGTACGGTTTGTAAGATACCGGTGTGGCCGGCCAGCATGTTATTGTGCCTCATTTCTAGTATGAAGGCGCGTGGTGCGCAGAGGACGGCTGTTTTTCCGTTGAACTGTTGAACAGATATTTACATAAGAGACCATATGCGTCATAAAAGTAGGTTTCAGTGTCAGTCCTTGCCAACAGGTTTCAGTTCTGAAGTTCTGCTGTTCTTCAAGTATTCTGGGTTTATCCCAAGGTACCGGAAGTTGGTCGGCAACATGCGAGATAATGTTAACCGGAGGCGCCCTGCTAAAAGCATCCACGTGAGGAATGGATTTTCCTTACCTATGCTCCACGGTAAATCTATATTCGGACATTTCTGCGAGCCATCTAGCTAACTCACATGCTATTAAGGGGATATATAGCCGAGATGGGTTCAAGGGTTACCTCCTTGTGTTTAGGAGCTCGAGGTTACTCGTCACGGGAATTGTTCCCAAGGGAGCAGTTGTTACCGCTGAAGGCCCAGGAAGGTTCCCTGGACGCCGTTGGCAGGGGGAACGGGTTGGGACAAAACAGAAATAGTGACGACGACTCCAAAGAAAGTGGTATGAGAAAGTCTGTACCATTGTGGAGCACAGCTAGGTTTAGTTGTTTTACTTTGAGGTGTCAAAATTCATGCGATATCTTCTAATATCGTGTCTGACCTTTTGCCCGCCGAAGTTCCACATTTCGACGTGGCATGGACTCAACAAGCCGTAAGAACCCCCTTGTAGAAATATTGAGCCATACTGTCTCTATAGCCCTCTTTAACTGCGTATTGCAGATGGCAGGTTTTTGTGCATGTACTGATCTCTTGAATATATGTCATATATGATATGATTCATGACGGGCAACCTGGTGGCCAAATCATTTGCTAGAATTGTCCTGCATTTTCTCCAACCAATCGCGAACAACTGCTGACCGGTGACACTGCGAATTTCAACCATAGAATTCCATCGTCTGGGAACATGAAGTCCATGAGTGGCTGCCTAATGGTCTTCGAGTAGCTGAACATAACCATTTCCAGTCAATGATCGGTTCGGTTGGCCCGGAGGACCCCATCCATTCTATGCAATAACAACCCATACTATTGTGGTGCTACCACCAGTTTGCAGTGTCTTGTTGCGAAATTGGGCCCATGCCGTCGTGGGGTTTTGGGCCGCATCGAACCCTACTATCGGCTCTCAACCAAATTAAATCTCATTTGACGCTACGTCCCAAATTAATTTCTGCGGGTTTTTCACGCAATGTACCTTGCCAGCACACACTGGCAACTCTACGCAGACGTCGCTGCTATCAGTCATTAAATAAAAACGTCGGCGTCTGCAATTTGCGTGGTGAGAGGTTATGCCTGTAATATATGTAATCAGGTATTCTCAGTACACTCTTGAAGATACTGTAGATCTCTGAATATTGAATTCACCAACGATTTCCTAACTGGATGGAGCTAACTCATGTGTCTACCTCTAATTACCATACCGGGTTCAAAGTTTAATTTCCGCCATGCTGCCATAATCACGTCAGACACATTCACTTAAATAAAAGTGGAAGCTTTGCTAGCAATGTACCTTTTGTACGTCATTGTACTGCCATGTGTATATTTCCTTCTTGCTATCCCATGACATTTGTAACCTCTATGTGTATACTAATATTATTTTTCATTTCAGTTTGACTCTGGGATTCAACGTTTTATGTCTATGAGGACAACAATGTATGACCACTTTCGACCAACTACTAAAGCTACTGGATACGGCTTTGCTCTTCTTCTTGCTCCTCTTGTGTTGTACACATGGTTGTTGAAATCTTCAAGGGTGAGTCTGATTTAAACATTTTTCTTCCAAAATTAAAAAAATAATATATATACATTAAGAGTTGTTATTAATTTTCCATCATTTAGTGAATCCCCTTCATTGTGTTGCGAAATAGCAATAGGATAATTTATATATTTTGGGGGTTTATAAAATGTTGATATATTTACATACATTGGGGATTTATTTAATATAATAATGTGCATTCGTGGTATTGTTATCTTTCAGTAGTGTGAACAAATCATTTTTAGGGCCGGTTCCATCAACAGCCTGAGTAAAGTTGAGAGTAGTTACCCGAGAGTACCAATTTACTTTAAGAACTCTCGTAACTCTCGAGTAGAGTAAAAGTGTTTCATCATGCTTCTAGAGGGTTATTTTACTCTAGAATACATACTCTACGATTTACTCCGCGAATCAGCTGAACACGCAGTATTTGAGAGCGATTCAAGAGGCTGTGAGCGAGAATGACGTTGGGAACCAATGCTAACCAACGCGAACCTTTGATTAATTCCTAATATTCTATCATTCATTTCAGTTTCGGAGTTCTTGGCGATCTCTTAGTGTTATCTTGTGTGGTGTAATGGTGATTTGAGTTAGCGTAATTTATTTCTTAGTTTATATCTTTACGTAATAAATATCCATTCTTTTCTGGAGATGAGTCACTATTTTATTAGCAATGCTGAAAAATGAAATTTGCATTTCGTTCACCGATGGTGGTGCAAATCAAATTTTTGTATATCGGGAATGATGATGTTTAGTTTTCAAATCTTGCTGATCTTGCGTTTTTCTAAATTTTATTATAAATATTATTATTATTAATATTATTATTTGTAGGATTTGTTTATTTTTTTATTATTTATTCACGTTTCAACTATTTGTAGTTAACATGTTGGAAAGGGATTCTGGAACTCGAGAAAACGTGCGCAAATAATCTCCCCCATACGTTACATACAGAGTTTACTAAGTATATAAATATTTCTTAGTGCTTTTAGTCCCTGTAGTTATTATAATTTCTTTTGTTATCGTATTTTGTACGTACTACCTTTATTTCGTATCCACATGGTGAAAAAGAAGTTGACAAGCCCTCTACAGTTTACAAAGTATCTGATGAAGTTAAATACATGATTTGGTCAAACATAACTTCTATACAAAAACTCGATCGTTATAATTAAAACCAATCCATTCTCTTTCGCACCCTTTGTTATCGCACTACGGATAATATTCGGAATCTTTGCTGGAATCGTTTTCAAATACTATCATTCGTAATCGTCGAGCCATAACAACACTTCGGAGGTACATGCACGTTGAAAATTGAGCATACTTCGTACTTAACCCGACGGATTTACGCAGTGTAAAGTTACTCTCGAATTTACTCTAGTGTAATCTATTTACACTCTAGGATCTTCTTAGTGCATACTGTTACTTCAGGTAAATCAGTAAAACGGGCACCGGGATTAAGCGGTCATTTCAGTTGATTTTTCGTGGAACCTCTTGGTTCTTTCATAGGAGAAAAAGAGACATGATGAAGTGACGAAGCAGTTCCACCAATTAATGGCATTGAAAACGGGCTTACTCGCCACTTCCGTGCCGTATTGTAAATATGTGCCTCAGAATGTGCTTGAAAGTAGTGAGCACACACACTACTGGGATCGCTCCATTATCACTGACAGACACGTCGACGGCAATAGACCCGATATAACGTACATAAAGATGAAGGGTAGACATCAGCAGGTTTTTCTTATCGATATATCAATACCCAATACCCACAACATATTGGGACAATATCCAGAGAAGATCCAGAAGTATACCGATCTCGCCCATCAAGTTGCAACTCAGTGGAACTTCAGTGAAGTGACAACTGTGCCTATAATAAGATCAGCTACAGTAGTGATCCCGAAAATGACACTTTGGGCACTGGAGTGTCTTCACTTGGATTTCAGAATTGTATATAATATGCAAAAGTCAATAATTTTGTATACATGCCGTATTGTCAGAAGCCATCTGAACCTTCAGTAAAGAAACCACACACCTGGTCATCATTCCTGTGTGTGGCTGGCATACCGACCAGTAGATACTGTGAATAATGAAATAATAATAAAGTGTATGGCGCTTTTAGTTCTAGCATTACGAGCTGAGTAATTAAGAAAATGCAAAAATTCTTGTTTTTCGGGCGACGAAAAAAAAAAAAAACAGCCGAGAAGACGGACTGCAATCAGAAAAGATGGTCAAGAATAGAAAGAATAATTATAGAAACTAACTAGGACGAGAAAGTCTGTGCTATTCTATAGTACCCGTTTTTTATCTATTAAAATAGCTAATTTTGTACAAGAAACTTTATCTTACGCAAAAATCTAAACCTTCTAATTTGTAGTTTTGAAATGTTTTTACAATTTAAAAAAGGAGCAACAAAAAACTAGCAATACTTGTAAATTGGACTAGCACCATATTTCTTACCGCCCCTTATTACATATGTGGAGAAAATTAACAGAAAAAAATTTAGAGCGGTTTTCAGGTTTGTTTGTTTGTTTGTGTGGGTTTTTTTTTTTTTTTTTTTTTTTTTTTTTTTTTTTTTTTTTTTTTTTTTTTTGGTGGATTTGAAGCCGACATTAAGCAAAAACTTCTTCTTTGATTAAAAAAGTGAACGTGACCTTTTCTAAAGAGATAATTTTGTACAACAGACTTCGCTTGAGCCAAACAATTTTGTTTTGTACTTTTAAAAATTATTTTTGCAATTTGCGAAAAATCTGGGATATCACAGAATATGGGACCTGCACCATTATCTTAAGCGTCTTTCGCAGTATTAAACCACAAAATTTAATCAAAAACTTTAGAGAATTTTTTGCGAGATTTGGAAAAGGCCTTAGGTGGTCCGTTTCGTGTGAAGTACTCCCCAAAATTAAACATCAGTTTCAAATTCCAGGGACTGCAACATTAGGTAGATTGGTTTGTGAATATCAAGTTTGGAAAAAATCGACTGAATGGTTTAGCCGCTAGCATTGACCACAGACAAGCGGACGTTTTGCCGTCAATCGATTTTTCGGAATCGAGAACCAACAAGACATGGGCCAGTTAGAGGATTTTTCTTTCTAAATTTAGTAGTATTTTTCTTTCTAAATTTAGTATCCACCTTTTCGCTACCAGAACTCGGCAATAAGTTTTTTTCTGGTAAAATTTCGTTTTCTGGCCCATGATTACATAATCTTCTCTTTTAACGAAGAATTCGTAAGGCGAGAAAATATAAAACTTTTTTTTCTAGCAAAACCTAAAAACTACTCGTATCTTTTTACGAAAAAGCAATGTACATGGCGTATTTAGAGAAATGTTTTTTAGAAAAAATTGCAATAAGAAATCAAGATGGCTTACCAAATTGTCCAGTTTGCTTCATCAGTTTACTTCAAGAAGTAGAAAGATTCAGACACAAGGAGCGAGAAGGTGCTTGCATCGAAAAAAAGGAGCAACTAAAAACTCATATAGGAGTGTTTAGTTCGTGACATCATTGTCACACTGGGCATTACAGAAGGGGGGAATGTAAGGTGCGGCACCTAAAATTCCTAGCACTTCTCATTTTTTAAGTAGGCCTGGGAAGCTGAGATCACTGAGGGTGGGAGTTCCTGGATCCAAGGGTCGTGGATTTGAAATCCGCCTCGGAATTAGAAGCTCTCATAGATTTCTGTGGGTTACCAATCAGGCGGGGGCAGTGTGGTCCAGTGGTTGGTTTAAGACAAGTAGGAGACGCACCACTTTTTGTGCTTACTATTTATTGTTTTAAGAATAAGCAATATTGTAGATTTAGAAAAAATATATGAAGAATGTTTAACTTTTGTAACCACGAATTTATGTTTTCAGGATTCTACTGAGAAGTTGTACCGCACTGGGCAAGTTGCATACAGAGATAGAAATTTCAAGTTTCAGTAAAATGATTAAAATGGGATGTAGTGTAAATATGTATTGTGGAAGTTAATAAAATTATTCATTATTTGTGTTTTATTCTTTGATTGTGTGTATTATTGATAAAGAAGACAAGAGTAAATCAAATTGATACGCTAACAATTACACCGCCGACGTTGTTATACCTGGTGGGAATCATTATTACAATTTAAAGACAACGTAAGAAAATTATATACATTTAAAATTGTGAAATAAAACAATTTCACATAGTGACAAATATTCTGAATAATCAAAAGTTGCTGAAATTGTTGAAGTTGAGACAATAGAATAAGATAAATTAATAATTTATTGCGTGTACCCCAAGTTGCCCCCCTGCACAGAAACTCACGAGATATTGTGGCGTCACCAAATTTTATTACATTAAGATAGTTTTCTCTACGGAAAGAAAGTAGGTCGCGAGACTGGGCGGTGTGTGTACGTGTTCGGGCATCTGCAAGCGTTAAAATTAGAATTAGAAGAGAGATCGCCGTGGAAAATTCCAGGAACAGGTCGTCCCGATTGGCTGACAAAAATTGCTACCCAAATAGTTTTGGCCTATGAGACATCTCCACGTGAGGGAAGGGGCAAAGCTACGGGTCTTGAGACGTTTTCGGGAGGGGGAAACGGAGGCGAGCTCGGCCGGGAGCTGAGTAGAGAAAAACATTATTAGGGAGAAGTCGTAGGAGAAAAGAGGTGGCTCTAAGATTATTAGAGAGAAATTATAGGAGAAAAGAGGTGGCTCTTAGATAAGACTCGGAGTAAGGAACATTATTGCCGTCTCAGGCCCATTCAAGCCCGCATTACGCCCGCCCGTGTGTCGTCGAGCTGACTCTGAGCCCGCCCGCCTTTGACGACACCGAGCCACGCCGCCAGCTGAGAAGCACCGAATGGGGAGTCGGTGACCTGACCACCGTCCTGCCGTCGCCACATCACGCCGTCAGCCCTCGCCAGAGCGAAGGTGAACCACGAGACGAGGACAGCCATCCAGCCGGTTTGCGGAGGCGCCGACAAACAGCGGTGATAATCCGGTATTAACCTGAAGATGAACTCTCTCCCCTGATGAAGTCACGGGGTTCCTTCGCTGGGTAGTCTGGCGAAAGTTTCAGCGTTGCGGTGCTCAGGCAGTTTTTTTTAATTATTGTAGACAAAAACCCCAATGTTAGTGTTAAGATGTTTATTCCTAGCTATTAGAACTATGTGCTCATTGCGTAAAGTTGGTAGGCAGTCTTTGTCTCTCTCTTGCGACGTGTAACTTCCCTGGCAAGTAATGTCAGGAATAAATTAATTTTTGCCCAATTAATGAAATGATTTAATAGATAACCTCCCTTTTCTTCCATCCATTCATTATAGTAATGAACGAGCGACCCGACTGAGCTATAAAAGTTACAATATGAAAAGTGATAGCCTTCTTCATAGAGGGCCTGATAATTCCGTGTTGAGAATGCACTCCGGTGTGTGCATGAATGTGTGCACTTTTGGCGCAGGCTACGAAGGTTGCCTTTTATGCTTCGGGATTTGGCACCCTGGTGTTGCAATCTGGCAACTGACAGATCTGTCGTAAAGTTAGATGTTTTGAGGTTATTCGTACTCGGAACGTTTTGACATACGAGCGCTATTTGTGTTGTTTACAGTAACGTAAAAGATTCATCTCTCCCCCAAAATGGAATTAAATCGTGAACATTTTGGATTAACTCAGCAACAGTGCATGGATGAACTTAATTCAATTTTTGGCGATGAAGCTCCATCAAGGACCAGTGTTTATGGTTGGTATGATGAATTTAATCGTGGTCGTCGTTCACTCCAAGACGAATTTCAAGAAGATCGTCCAAAATCAGTTGTTCCGAAAACCATTGATGCTGTGCGTGAACTGATATTGCAAGATCTTCATGTGACCTATTGTGAGATTGTGACAACCTTAGGCATTAGTTAACAATCGCTCAAAAAAAAAGGCTCGTGTTGATTGGTCGAAAGAAATGCTCAAAAAATACGTTTGCGGTGATTCGAAACACGCGTATGAGTCCGAAAGTAAACAGCAGTTGACTGTATGGGTGTTTCAAGATGAGCAAAATCCAACAAAAGTTGTTCGCGCACGAAGCACTTCCAAACAGATGGTCGGCTGCTTTTTCGGAAAAACTTGACATGTCGCAACCGCACCACTAGAACGACGCAGAACAGTCAATTCTGAGTGGTACACAAGGATTTGTTTGCCAGCTGTCTTCCAAGAAATCAGGAAAACCAACCGCGGAAGACGGATCAGTCTTCACCACGACAATGAAAGCTCTCACACATCGGCTCAAGAAACTGCATTTTTGTGCACCCGAAACATCGATTTGATGAGTCATCCGTTGTATAGACCTGACTTGGCACCGAATGACTTCTTTTTATTCCCGTACGTAAGAAAACAGGCTGAGAGATCAACGTTTTTCGACACCTGAAGAAGCGGTTGCTGCATTCAGAATGCATGTTTTGGAGAT